ACACACACACACACACGCGCGTGCGCAAGTGGAGTATTGTATATTTCGATGTTCTAGCGGAAGATTCATTCGATTTTTCTCATCCTATCGATGGAAGTAGTGTGGGGGCAGCCGCGGGGTTTGAGACTTACCTGTTGGCCGGTGCATTACTCATCCAATTGATGGAAAACGATCTCTCTCTCTCTCTCTCTCACACACACACACACACACACACACACACACACACACACACACACACACAAGCAGTTTTATGTTTGTCAGTCTTTTTTCTGTTCTCTGTTCTTCCCCTGATTTTTTCTAACTTTTTTTGTGTGCCCAACTGAGCACCCTTAAGTAGTGCCAAACAGTCGGTAGTTCCTCCTTTGGAGTGCCTACTGCACTCTTATGGGGGCTGCTCGGTTTAGGATGTCTATGTTGCCTGTCGGTGATGACGGATGTTCGTCGGAGTGACTCCCTGGCTCAGTGGGTGGTGGGAACCAACAGTCTCCGTGGTTCAATTGTGATGTGAGTAGGTCATGTGCTGCTTTGCTCCGTGTTGGATGTGTGGATGTCCTCGTCTGCGCTCCGACGTTGCCTTGCTGCTTGTCCCGCTTGCTTCGTGTATGGTTCTTTGCAGTCTAGGTTGATCTGTTGGTTGTGCGGTGTGACCGTGTTGTTGGTGTTGCCTTGCGCTTCGCTGCTCCGCTGCTCCGCTGCTCCGCTGCCGTGCTGCTCATCCGTTGGCCTTGCCTTCCGTGCTTGCTGCTTGTGTGCCCTATAGGTTGGTTGCCTTGTTGATGGTGCCTTGTGCTCCGCTCCACGGTTGCTCAACTGCTGGCTCACTTGCCCTGTCGTCCCTTGCAATGCTATTGCCTTGCTTGTGTGGCCTTGTGCTTCATTACACGGCTGCCGCGCTGAGTGCCATGTCGTCCCTTGCAATCGTTTTGGCGTTGTGCAGCCGTGTTGCCTCTACTGTGTTGCATGTTGCTGCCCGCTATTATGTTCCTCTTGGGGACAGTCTGCCTTCAACAAGGGTCAAAGGGTTCATGACCCAAACCATCAAATACGGGGATTCCGCAGATTGTTGAGGGTTCAGCCTCCTGATGAGTCGGTGCAATTCCCACGAAACAATCTTGTTATCATCAGTTTCTATTTTTTTTTTGTCCTTCGGCTTTCTTGGGACTGGTATTTTTTTTTGTCCTTCGACTTTATTGGGACTTGTATTTTTTTTCGGTTTGCCTGTTTCCGTCGAAGCTACCATGCTACTCGTTTCTCAGCTCATTGTCTTTGCCTTATCCTATCATGTTTTTGTGCCCGCCCGCCTCCCCTGTGCCCTCCAGCCTATGCATTTTGTTGTTGCGTATCGTTTATGTGCCTCGTAGGCTCCTACGTCTTCTCACTGTGCATTACCTCCTGTTTGTTCTTCCCTGCCTCCTCCCCATGTACTAGCCTGTTTGGCTTCAACAGTAGGACGTCATGCCATATGAAGTGGAGGATTTATTTCTTGGTGTGTTGCTTGATGTGCTTTTTCTGCACAGCACACCACGTCTGTTCACGTGGGGGTTTCGTAGCATATTACACACACACATACACACATTCACACACATATACACACATTCACACACGCATGCACACACACACACACATATACACACACATACACACACACACACATACACACACACACACATACACACACACACACATACACACACACACACACACACACACACACACACACACACACACATATGTTAATACCTATGTGACACCCGCGGCCTAGGCCGCGGGGATTTCGGCCGCTGCGGCCGCGGCCGATGAGGCCCGGTTCGCAGCCTGTTTTTTTAATTATTTTTTTTTACCCCTAAAAATACGTAAAAAAAAACAAAAACAAATATGGGGGTGTAGGGCTTCGAAAACCCTACACCCCTGTATTTGTTTTTTTGGAATCCGACTTTGTTTAGGATTTTTAAAAAATTAAAAACTAAAATTAATTTAAACAAAATAAAAAAATATATACATAAACAAATGCAGGAATTTTTTTTGCCATTTTTTATCATGAGATATATGGTCCCTGAGTACATGGGTATTTTTTTCATAATTGGAATTTTTTTTTTTGCAGGGAAATGAAGTGTTTAAAAAAAAAAAAAGATGCAAAATTTAAAAATAAATAAACAAAAAACTTGAAAAAAGGGTTTTGATTGATTGATTGATTAATTGTGAGTGAGTGAGTGAGTGATTGAGTGAGTGAGTGAGTGAGTGAGTAAGTGAGTGAGTGAGTGTGTGTGTGTGTGTGTGTGTGTGTGTGTGTGTGTGTGTGTGTGTGTGTGTGTGT